TTGTGGCTTAAATATATCGAATGTCATTTCACTTAGACTTTGTTGGATTTTTATTATGGGGATATACAAGCAAACCAGGAAAATCTTTGAAAATTCAATCTTGAATTTAAATCGTTTGGAAAATGGTTGCGAGAAGATAGCATACTTAATTCCATATTGAACCTTCCGTTTCACAACTGTTATTTGAGGATCATGCAAAAACAGTATTTCAAACATTAATTGCAAAATTGAGTACTCAAAATAAACAAATTAGAAAGTCGAAAATATTGAACGAAAGTCATTCTATGTGGAGAAAATCAGAGTTTTCACCAACCTTCTTTGGGTACTTTCACCCTTGTATCACCCTTCACCCTTTCACAATATATTTTAAAATTTGTTGCAACGAACGAAATTCAAGTGACAACTAAACAAGTGTCCTATAAAAAAATGTGGGAATTTTCCAAAGAAAGAAAGAAAACAATGAATTTCAAAAAATTAACCCTATACAAAGATGTGTAGATCATGCAAAGAAGTAACTTTCAGTCACAAACTGGAAGAAAAAGCCTTCTCGAAACAGCTGAGTCGGTAGCCGGGCGGTTCTCGACGTGGGTGCTTTCAATCGACCGATGTGAGAGTCGGTGGTTCTAGCCGCACACTGAATGATCGATTTTCACTTTTTATCGCCCAACCCGTGTTAGGAATAACACGTTAAAAGGTTAGCTTAGCTCGTACCAGTTTCTACTTCTCAGGGTTGTCGTTCGTAGTGGTGCGACAGCTGGTTAACGGATAAAACATATTTTTTTTAACAATTACACGAAAGAAAATTACTTTCGAAACAAATACTTTTATATGAAAGCTGAATTATACGTTGAATACTTTTCTCTATTTAGTTTGTATTCCAAACATTCGTTATGGAATTGAATCAGACATCATTCACAGGATTGCCACACAATATACTAAATGAAAGGTAAAATGTCACTTACGTGCAACACTCATTGGTGGACATCCGATATTTCGCCGTAAAACACTTATCATCTCTCCAGTACCAAATTTGGATAACATTATAAAAAAAATACCCAGTTCATTCAGAAAATTGAGACTTTTTGTCACGAATGAGTTCAATCTACTCATGTCATCGATGACAGTACGCAATGGCATTCATCCTTATATAATATCNCAAACTTTTTAGTTCACCCCGTTAAGTTACTACTTGAATTCAAAGTATTTTTCACCAAAAAAAATGTTATAATTTCACAGTGACTTTAACAGTGTAATAGTCGTATTTAGCAATTTTGCCTATCAAGTAAAGAGCTAAGGAATTATACAGTTACTCATCTCAACATTTCGGGGGTTGAAATCTGACAGTCTTTAAAATTGAAAAATAATCGAGTGAATCTTGCAGTTTTTTTGGTTTGTTTCATTTTCAAATGCCAAAGTTGTCAAAGGAGTTTTGAAATGTGAAATATGTCATTGTTGATGACAAGGTGTTCGCTGATATTAATATGTTGCAATGTCGCCACTATCCATATATCATTCTTCTTCAAAATGATTAGCTGTTTGAAATGCATTTTTTTCGAGGTATGAAAATATACACTTATCTTTGAGTAAATAAACGTGATTATTATTATTATTATTATTATTATAAGTCATCCTGCAGGCCGTAACAGACCACTAGGTCTGTTACGGTGAAATAAATAGTGAACATTGCTCCTTGTTTGAATTGAATATTTGTGTTAATTACTCTCACACACATGGAATGTCGGCGATAGATGGGAATAGGAGCCTAAAATTTTCTTCCACGTTTAAACGATTATTCTCCTGTAAACTTTCACGGCCGGAGATAACTGTGTGAAAGCTATTTTCCGGGCTTTTTTGGCCTTGGTGTGCAGGGTTTTATGCCTGACGTTTCGTCTACTACTGCGGTAGATATTATCAATGGCGCTGTGATAACGGTTGCAATGCCCCAGTTGGTGCTCGAGTAGATAACGGGAACTGTAGAGCTGGAGTTACTATAGTTTTTGAAAGCGAAAGGGAGTATGACAGGCAGATATTTTGCTCTGAAAATTGTCGAGGGTACTCGAAGCATACAAAATGGTCTTGAGTTTAGACACTTTGAGGAAGATAATCCTAAAAAGTGTATATCCCGCATAGAATTCCCAGAACAACAATCAGAATAATCAGGAAAGAGAGAGATCAGTACTCTTGCTCGTCGTAGGCATTGACAAAGGTCTAAATGAGGAATGTCCAAAAAGTTCCATAAATGGCTGATTCAACCAATGAGAACATTTTTTTCTTTCTAGAATTATATAGTTAATATGAAATCAAATTCAAAATATTCAACAAACTTGGAGTTGGGTAAATTAGGGTAAAATTTAGATTTTCGGATTGGGGTTAATAATTCTCATGAAATAAATATTTTATCAATATTCAATTGTGAGCTTATTATATTAGAACCATTTCTTAATCGACTTAAAGTAGTTTCTGCCTCATGTTTTGAATCTTTAACGTTATCTGGGAACTGGCTCTTTGAATTGATGACTTGAAAAGGATTTTTATGGCAGTGGCGTGTATAGAAGATTCTTGTTTCAGGAAGGGGAATCTTATTTCGTTAGAGGTTCTAAAATACTTTGCCATCAACCAAATTAAATAGTGATGGGGTCACTGGAGCGGTATTTCTGACATGAAATAAACAAGGCATAGCATCCGATCTGTATATTTTATTTGGATCTGGGTCTGTTCTATTACTGATGTGGTTCAACAACTGCAACTTTTTCTCCATTTAATTGATCTTCTTTCTCTTTTATTTTGAAAGTTGCCTATGAAATGAAGTTTAGAAAGTGAGCAGATTTGTTTCGGTGGAACAGAAAATGTCTGAGAATTATTCTGAGTAAACTTATTTATTCTTAGACGAAAATGATACTTATTGTAATGAAATTTAACTTTTTTTTTTCATATCTTTCCAGCATTGAAAAAACGACCAAAACACTTGCTTCTTTTCGTAAATCCGTTTGGTGGCAAACGAAATGCCATGCAGATCTATGAAAAATTCGCTAAGCGATTGTTCCACATAGCCGGAATAGAGGTGACTGTGAACGTGTCGCAAAGGAAGGACCAGATCAAAGATTTTCTCATCAATCATAGCTTGGATATTTTCGATTCTGTTGCTTGCGTAGGAGGCGATGGTACAGTGTCGGAACTATTTAACGGATTGGTTTTGAGAGAATGCCGGATTCGAGGGATTGATCCGAATGACATCAATCAGTGTTTACCCAATCCGAGAGTGCCCGTTGGCATTATACCAGGTAATATCTTTCAGATGGCTATTCGAACTCATATTTTCCGGTCAAAACAGGCATTGAACCTGAAACAAAAATTGAATAAAGGTAAAAATTGAAACACGTTTTCAGTTCATCAATGTGAGTAATGTCGTATAAACGGTCTGTAATTAAGCCTTCCTATCTTTAAATTTGAATAAAACGAAGTGTGTGTGAGATATCGAACTTTTTTATTCGTTTAAAAGTTCTTTGATGGTATTATGTGTGGAATGTAACTTCGTTCAAATGTCCTCCACGGCTTCTCTGGGTGGATCGCATCCGAAACGTCCAATTTTCCATGACTCTGGCACATAAATCAGGCTGAGTTCGACCGATGGCATGGGTTATGTTGGCTTTAAGAACCGCTGTGGTTTGTGGCTCATTCGCATATACCTACGACTCAAGAAAACCCCACAAGAAAAAGTCTAACGGGGTCAAATCGCACCATCTCGGTGACCAGTTCACATCATCTCCACGTGAGATGACCATGTCCTCAAAGCTCGTGCAGAATATTCAATGGGGCATGAACTGTGTTGCACGTAGCGCCGTCCTTTCGAAATCAAATGTCGGTGTCCAGATCATCCAATTCAGACCAAAAAACGTTGGTAATCATCCTATAACCTATAATGCTCGCCGTTGACAGTGATGGTCTGCCTAACGTCGTTCTCAAAGAAATATGGACCGATGTTACCGCCAGTCCAAAATCCACACCGAACAATGACTTTTTTGGAATGCATTGGACTTTCTTGGATCTCTTGTGGATTGATATCGTCCCAAACTCGACAATTCTGTTTGTTCACGTACCCATCCATCCATAAGTGAACCTCATCGCTGGATATGATTTTTAGATGAAAATTAGGATCAGTTGCCAACTGCTCCAGAGCCCATTCAGCGAACACACGCCGTTGTCTATGGTCGTTTATATTCAGTTCCTGGGTCAGTTGAATTTTGTTCGCCAAGTTGTGGTCTGCGAAAAGTCGAGTTCTGGTGAGCGACGCGAAATCGACTGCCCCGAATTCTCCTGCACACTCTCACAGACAGCGGCTATGTTTTCGGCAGATCTTGCGTTTCGTCGAAGCACGGATGTTGGTCGATCGTTTACTGAACCAGTGGACTCAAATTTATTCACCATATTGCGAATGGTCCTCTCGGTAGGACGATTATGGCCACCGTCTAATAGGCGAAATGCGCGGTACGTTGCCTGAACAGAACACCCATTTTGATGAAACAATTTTATTATTTGCACGTGTTGTTGATTGCTATATCCGTCCATGGTCATTTGGCAAAACATACTGGTCAGTGGGCTATGCTTGAAGACTGGCAGTAAACAAATCTAAAGAAATGAACTTTAAACGTTCAAGCCAGTCTCGGATATACCTCCACAGTAGGTTGAATGGACTGACGCCTATCAGAAAACAACTACTCCCCTTGCTAATACCACGAAGGGCGTTGGATTATATCTGATAGGCGTCAGTGCACGAATCTTGAAAATTTCCTGCATGTGCAATTAGCAATACAACTGAAAGAGTCAACCCTCAATTTTGGAAAGGGGCACACTTGCAGACCGGTTTCGGGCTCATTCAAGATAGTGGCCATCATCGACCTAAAGTCAATGATATTCCATAATTGAAAATCGGAATTCTTTCATACTGGATTAATGACTACTAATTTGACAGATGTAGCTTGAACAAGATGGTTGTTATCAATTGTCAAAGTTCATAAGTCCTGTTGGAAGACCCTATATAAATAACACTCTATTGTGAGATTTTCACTGAACAGTTTATTAAACCGCAACACGTGTTTCACTATGCAGTAGCTTCTAAGGTGTGTTCAGTGTATCATCCCGAAAGTATGTATGTCTCTAAGCCCACTTATTGTCAAGTACAATTGCATAATTGTAAAAGGTTTGTGTACAAAAATTGGCATTCACGTACCATTCCACAATGTTGCACGTAATAAGAGTATAAGTTTAAGTCACAGTAGAAATAAGTAGAAGCAAGATGACAGTGTTTCATGTAAGTGAAATTTTTACCTTTCATTTAGTATATTGTGTAGCAATCCTGTGAATGATATCTGATTCAATTCCATAACGAATGTTTGGAATACAAACTGAATAGAGAAAACTGTTTTTGCATAATTCAGTGTTCATATAGAGATAGTTGTTTTGAAAGTATTTTTTTTTCTTAATATTATTTCGCAATTTTTTATTTCTATTCAATAAAATGTAACTGTTGAGAAAAAGACTGGAAGTTTCTGAATCCAGTCGACATGAAACTACCGTGTAGTGAAACGTCTCTTGAATAACTATTATGGATAGTGTTATCGATTTTCATCAAGTAAAGTTTCAGTGTATTCAATATTTGAATCTAGGGATCAATAGAAAAGGTTTAATTTTTTTCTGATAGAATAGATATATTCGTTGTTTGGAGGTTATTTTAGCTTGGATAGTTGGAATGGTTATATCTAGTTTGATATTTATGAATTTTCACATGCCTGGGTAGATTAATTTTGGTCATATAACTAATTAGGTGAGTTTTTTAAAAATCATTGTAAATTGCAAACTTATGGATGCCCAGAAAAGTCACATATTCTTGTCATTTGTTTTTCGGACATTCCCACTTTAAAATACATAATTTCGACTTTAATCTCGAAATTTCGACTTTAAAATCCATTTCTGAATTGAAAGTCAACTATGGCTAGATTTTCCAATATACTGACTTAACTTCACTTGATAAGATATAGGATAGATGAATTGTTCACAAAAATGAAGATGGTGATGATAATTGAAATAACAATAATGGTAGTGATAATAATAACAGTTGCGGAGAAAGAGTGCGATTGGCAACATTTTTAGAAATGATATTGAAATTCAAATAAATGGTGGTTATGATCAATAAAATACTTTTGTAAAATGATGCTATTGTTTTCTCTATGACCGATCTGCCAAAAAATTGCAGAAATACTCGTATATCATATACGAGGTCATGAATTCCATAATACCGGACGTTTTCTTCGTATACTTCTTGCAACCGGTGCGTAATTTCAAGATAATACCCCTTATTGATCGTACGACCATGTAGCAAGAACTCCTGATGCACTATGCCATGGCAATCAAAGAAAACAGTCAGTAAAATCTTGACATTTGATCGAACTTGGAATACTTTTTTGGTTTTGGCTCTCCTGGGCTCTTCCATTGGGACGATTGGACTTTAGTTTCAATGTCATAATTATATACCCATTATTCGTCACCAGTTATGACCCTTTTGAGCAAATCTGGTTCGCCATTGACGTCATTCAACAATTCCTGAGCGATGCTCATGTGACGGTTTTTTGGTGAAAATTCAGCAATTTAATAATGATAATGATAATAATAATTGCTTTTATTGATGGGAAAAAAATACAAAGAAAAATATATATAGGTATAAACAAAAATATAAGCTCTTATCAAATGGCAGGATTCAATTTCTGACCATGCTACAGAGAAATCGCAACATGAGCAGACCTTGCTCTTCCATCCATCCTGCGTTTTTGGAACAGACTTCCTGCCACACGTTTCATGCCCCAATTTTCTTCACTTTTTCAAGATTTCCATTGGTTGTTGTTGTTGTGCTGGGGCGTCCAGGGCGAGCGTCGTCATTCACGTCTTCTCGACCTGCTGTAAAAAGCTTGTATCTCTTGTAAAAATGTTTCTGACTCAGAGTACCATCACCGTATGCTACTGTCACTGCCAATGCAAATTCATTGATCCATTTTTTTAATAGAAAATCACACCAACAAACTAAACGTGCTAAACACCTAAAACTGTGAACATATGTTCGAGACGAGTGTATTCGCAGGATAGATGTTGAAGGCAATCATTCTTGACTTATTAGATCTATTCGTAGCACATGTTCCTTGGACCCAATAATTTTTATTTCCTCGAAAGGGTTTGAGTAGCAACATGTTATAAGCTAATATTGAAAAATTATTGACTTATTAATAAAATCAGTAATAATGTGAGTATTAAAAAATTAAAGTAAAATAATTCAAAGAATGTATTCAAACGTTTCAACAAATTTTGTTTGTGGTTCATTCATGATAATGAAATAGACTGTAGAGTCATGAAGGAAAGACTTAACAGTTTTTTTCTCGTATAGTGCAGTCATTATATCCCAATATTTTCAGTTATATTGAAAATAAACAAGTCCAAGAGATTTTTATTTTTTCATTATTTGAAACAATTAGGAAGAATATTGCGTTCGTTTGAAAAACATTCCGATTTTTTTTATTAACTTTAAATTGAATCAACACTTTTGTAGGTGGAAGTACTGACACAATAGCATATTGTATTAACGGAACAACCGACGTTACAACTGCTGTATTGCACATAATATTTGGTGATACCCTTGGATTGGATTTAGTGTCTGTCTATGATGAACACACCCTACTTCGATTGTATGCTAGTGTCTTAAGTTATGGGTATTTGGGCGATGTAGCTTATCACAGCGATCGGTATAGATGGATGGGGCCTCATCGATATGACTTTTCAGGTAAGTTGAACTCAAAAAATATATACCTTCATTCACGTTTTAGGTTATAGATGTTGCACCATGCTGTTGTACTCATCATAATCTTATGTTTGTGAAACATAATGACCATTGGTATGTTGTCTAAGAACCTGGAAGCAATATCATTATTATCTTTTCTGACTGGTTTAGAACGACCGTTACCTACGAGGTTTTAGATACCATTTCTTAGTCATTTGTACTAGTTATTCTTAGTATTAATTTCTTACTGTAAATCAGTAATTGGAACTTCCATTTTGTGCATTTAGAAACTTGAGTTTCTAACAACTTGACTATACCGCACAGTCCCCTACCGCTCTGAGGAATGATTGATTCTCTACAGCCCCCCACGACTCTAAAGAATGTTTGTAAGTCTGTGAGGAATATATCTGATAGACCAGAGCTTCGGAAAGGATACACTGAAATATGTCCCGTGGGGTCCAATAAAATCATTGGTAATTATTCACATAATATTTATTGAAGCTAGAGAAGGTTCCCGATTTCCCATTTGCCTCAATGAGTGAAACTAGTTCAGTACTTGTGTATTTGAATTCTATGTTTTGAATGAATTAATGAAATTCTCATAATAGAGCAACCATTTTCTGAAGTGTCAGTTCTAATATGAAGGATAAATGTTGTTTATAAGCCTTCAAACACAAAAATACTTTCACACTTCTTTATTTCAAGCAAGTAAACCTCGCTCATCCAACCATAAAACAAAATAAGCTACCAGTGAACATTAAAGTACCAGATCAAAAATGAGTTGAGTTTTAGTCATCTCCTGATGATATTAACTTACTTGGTTAGTGAAATGCGCATCTAGAGACAGTGTTATTGTTCTGGTGTGAAAAAAGTGTTTTCATTAGACTATAAAAATATTTTTACTGTAAATTGTCATAATGTGTTATATCTATTTCATCTTGTGAATACTCATAATGACATGCTCTATGTCTCTTCTTGTTCTAGATTTATGTGAAATAAATATGACTTTCCTCAACAATTTTTATATTTCCAGGGTTAAAAAAGTTGGTCGGTAATAAAGGATACCAGGGAGAGATAGCAGTGTATTCAGAAAAAGAAACAGTGGATGAACTGGTCTGCCAAGAAAACTGTGAAAAATGTGAATCTTCACAAAGCGATTCAACTGAACAACGGCCCTGCAAATGGAGAACGATATCTGGTAAATTTTTCATGATCAGTGGTGCCAATATTAGTTGTGCTTGCAGTCGCAGTCCGAAGGGAATAGCTCCCTATAGCCACATAGGAGATGGCATGGTTCATTTGGTGCTAGTTAAACATACAAACATTTTGAACAATTTTCGGCTACTTTTGAAACTGTCGAGTGCCAGCTCAAAAGTCGACGACTTGCCATTTGTACAGACTTTCACAGCTCGTGAATTTTGTTTCCGAGCTGATCAAGACGAGAGTAAATGGAATTGTGACGGAGAAGTTCAGCAGCAAACAAACATTCGGGCAAAGTACGTTGTCAACTTGTTCTTTTTTCCAAACAACTATAAAAAGTTTTTTCAGAGTTAGATGCCAATTGCTCAGGATACTTAGCCGGGGAAATCCCGTTCATGAAACTTCCAATACAACATGCTGCGGATTTTAGATATCAATTATTTTTCATGAGAAAACCGAGTATTACACCAGTATTTATGTGCTGTACTTATTCGTATTTAGCAATTTTGCCTATCAAGTAAAGAGCTAAGGAATTATACAGTTACTCATCTCAACATTTCGGGGGTTGAAATCTGACAGTCTTTAAAATTGAAAAATAATCGAGTGAATCTTGCAGTTTTTTTGGTTTGTTTCATTTTCAAATGCCAAAGTTGTCAAAGGAGTTTTGAAATGTGAAATATGTCATTGTTGATGACAAGGTGTTCGCTGATATTAATATGTTGCAATGTCGCCACTATCCATATATCATTCTTCTTCAAAATGATTAGCTGTTTGAAATGCATTTTTTTCGAGGTATGAAAATATACACTTATCTTTGAGCTTACGTCTCTTAGAGTGGGGTTAATTGACAATCATTCTTGTCTAGTTCCATTCAACTCGATGTTCACAGTCTGATTTCAAAATGTATTTTGACGATATTGAACCTATTAATTGCCTATTTCTAATATAATCTTGATGTTCATTCTCACGCACTCTCAATGATCTTGAAGTTTCACCGATATAACTTCTACCGCAAGAACAAGGTATCTTATAAATGGAATTTTTTGTTCTTTCTTCATTGCTATTGGGTTTTGTATGTATAATTATAGATATCAGTGTGGTTGTCGTTTTGTTATAAATTCTAACATCATACCTATTTCCAATTCATCTCATCTTTTCAGATTGTCCTGGAATATAAGGTATAACATTAGTTGTGAACAGTATTGGTAATTATGGAATTAGTGATGCTGTTTGTAGGGTCATTTCGTTTTCAATTGACTGTTTATTTTCTGTTGCATTTATTCTTGAATCTACGAATGAATCTGAATATGATAGAACTGGCCGATACTTGATGAAAATCCATTATAACGTACCTATTTAAAAAACACACTTCAGAGTGAGATTTACAAAACCGCGAAATGTGTGACGCTATTGTATAGCGAAACACGTGCCGCTGTTTTGTAAACTTTCAAGTGGAAATTTCACATCAAAGGTTGTTTTTTGAATACGAATCTGAACAGATTTCATAAATGACCTTTTTTTTTCAAAATTTACGGCTGTATTGCAAATCGTTTTTACTCTGTCATAGAGACAATTTATTATAACTTTTTCAACACTCACATGATGGTTGGATGTGTAGTGGGAGTATCTGTTAGTGTTTTCTTTCAATAAACGTTTGAATCAAATTGATCTGTTTAAAATCTGTTTTTCCGTTAACCAGCTGTCACACCCCTACCAACGACAACCCATAGAAGTAGAAACTTGAGCGAGCTAAGGATTAACGAGGTCTTATCTTTTAACATGTGATTCCTAACACGTGAAAACATTGCACAAAGGAAAGAAGTTGACCATCTTAAATCTCTAGTGAACTATTGTCGATGCTTGTTTGTTAAGATTGTTTAAAGAAGCATTCAGATCAGAAACTTGCAAAGACATCATCAACATATCTCCACCAAACTTTCGGGCCGTGCTGGTAAGATATATAGAGTCAGAAGTTTTTCCAGTGTTACGAAAAACTAATTCAATTCATATTGATGAGGAAATACTTAAATAGCTGAATATCATAAAATATCTTACTTCGTCAACCAATATATATTGAAATGGTGCAAGAAATAGTTTTATAAATACCGAGATTAGGCTTAGCCAATTTACTCGGTTTGCCATGAAGATACTATCATAAATGAAGTTCTTCACTAATTGTTTACAGAACCGTATCTTATTCAACAAACCTCGGGCAAGATCCAATTCACATATTGACCCACTTTCCACATACTAAAATTGAAATTGGCATTTTGATGAAATCTCTTTCTGGATATTTTGACATGACAATTATTTTTTTTTCAAAAGTCATTAACAAAATATTTGATGAAACAAAGCGCTGGTTTGACCCGCCACGATGGCATTGTTGGATTCTACTATTCTTGATGGTCCATCCTTAAAATCGCTTTGTTCTTCTTTGATATTCGTATATTGACTCTTCCATCGATCTGTTTAAAAAAAATCTATTTTCCGTTAATCAGATTCTGTAGATCGTGTATTTTTATTGGGGGTTATCGCCTTTAATGTTCCAATATAAGCAAACGGCAAATGTTGGTTTTGATTTGAGTGTGAGTTTTTTTATTTTCATTTCCCATCGTCCGGCCGGTTCTTGCATTGCCTAAACTTATCAAAAAATTGAAATAGTTGTAAGACATAATTTATCGTGTTCATAATTATTTGTTTTTTTCTGTTAGTCCACTAGTCATTGGTTGGTTAGCAGACTGAAGTTTCATGTAAAAATATGATTGACTTTTTTTCTACATCTTGTATATGAATGAATTCCCAATTATTCATCAAATCCATTCAAATTCCAGTTTCACGTGGTATATGCATGGTTCTCCACAAAAATAAAATGTGTGGAGAAGGTAAATCACACAAATATTAATTTTGTGGAAATGTTCTATACAAAAAATATGTCAATATTTCCGCTATGAGCTTGTTATAGATTTTATAATATAGATAATATTTATTTTCTTTAATGTATAAAGATATTTGAAAACGTTTTTATACAACTATGCAAAAAGAAACATAAAAATGAAATTCGAATATTTTTTGTATGAGAAACTTGTTCAGCCTTGATTTGAATATTGAGAGATTTGGTAATTTTTTTATTGAAATATCAAATTGAATATTCCGGTTCTAGATACAGCACTCTTTTGGCAAAAGATCGTTAGGTTTGGTCTAGATACCGACAAATCACTAGTTCCAGTGGGGTATAGGAATGGTAAATGTGTGATACTGGATCATACGATATTTCTGAGTTCCTTCCAAAACAAGAAAAACCAGTAGACCTGAAAAGATTCATTGTGACAATGAAACAAAATATAAACTTTTCTATATTATAGTTATTTAGTCCTAGTATTTCCCAATTTGATTTTTTTTAATCGAAGAATGTTCATATACTGGTTTTCTAAATTTACAAGTTGAGCTTAAACGATGGTAAAAAAAGATCAAAATGAAATGTGTATCTACAGTTACACAACTTTTTTTTTTAAATCATGTTCAAATACTTTTAATACTTTTCATGGAATTTTATAAAAATGTCTGGGAAGGGGACCAAATTTATGTTCAGTCCAGGGCGCCAAAAGCTGTTGGGCTTGTCACACAAAAAATTAGGCTAGGTGCACACGGGTTGAAACATTTTGATCAACAACCTTTCACTGTTTTGTAAATGAAGTGTAAACAGGGTATTCATGTAGAGGGCTCGCATTGGTCAAAACATTGCGCAACATGTTAACGACAAACAACTTAATAACAAAACGTTTGACTCAAAAGTAAAATTTTCTTGAGACATTCAAGCTGCACATGTCCCACCATAAACTATTAGTTTTCAGGTATTTCCTCTCACAATTGTACCAACTCCTACAACAGAATAGAAACCATTGCCAATCGAAAAGAAACACCCGCAGTTAGTGATCAAAAAAGTTGTCTCAAACCAAAAAGCTTTCATGTGTGTGCAACTAGCTTTATGACAACTATAATCACTTAACTTGGCACCTGTTACAATACATTATTTCTTTTTAATTAACATTAATACTCTTTTATTAGCTTCACCTGTATGTATGTTTGTAACTCTCAAGCTCGGGATCTGGACATTATTGCTTGATCTATTCGCGTGCAGATGGCGCTGTACGCAACCTCCTTGATATAATTCGAACTCACTTTACATGTATTTCTTCATTTGCAAAAAGTTTTTTTAATTATTAACACGCGCGCCTGCTGCCTTATATGTAACCCTCCTTTGCGCGCCTGTTGCCTTGGGCTTGGTAGCTGATTTTCAGGTTCCCTCTCCGGAATCGGAAAATATCAATGGTTCAAATTCAGATTTCAGTTTTATACTCGATAATGGGATCAAACCCGAAACTGGTCGTATAAATAAAATTTTCCAGTGGTATTTAGACGAAAGTGTTTCTATTCATTAGAAATGTTGAACTTGAGTGGAGCTGAATTAGGTGTTTTTGTGCAAGACACTTGCAAAAAGCTAATATGGAAATAATGGGTTTTTTGTATATTTCAATGTAGTTGTTTCAAAAGGGCTTTTTCTTCCAGTTTGTGTCTGAAAGTTACTTCTTTGCATGATTTACACATCTGAAATCAATTGCTTTATTCTTTTCTTTGGAAAGTTCCCTAATTTTTTGTATTAAGATGGAGAAGTAGAAAGCCAAAATCTTCGTTTCCCAAAAATTAATGTATCCTAAAAATATACTCCTTTCAATTTAAACAAGATTCCTAAGGATGGGATTAAATTAAATAAACGAATGAATGTCATGCATCAATTCTATAACGAATGTTTGGAGTACAAACTGAAAAGAAAAAAGTAGTTGTTTCTAGATAGCGTTTTCTTCCAGTTTGCGTCTAAAAGTTACTCTTTTGCATGATCTACACATCTTTGTATAGTTCATTTTGAAATCAATTCCTTTCTATGAAAGATTCCCATATTCTTTGTATAAAGGTGAAGTAGAAAGCCAAAACCTTTTCTTGCCAAAAATAATCTCTCCCAAAAATATATTCCTTTCAATTTAAATGAATGAATGTTTATGTGGAAATGTATCCCAAATAACACAAATCTAAAATCAGTAATAAATGAAATCATCAATAATATAAACATAGGTCTGTAAACAAACAACATAAAATAATAATGACATTATTAGTGGTTATATCACGTGAAATAGTAAAACTGTAATTCGTTAAGTGAAGTTGTTTTGTATTTCCTCTTGTTGATTATTATGAATTTGAGATTTGAAGACAATTCATTCATTTAAGTACTCTGACAACAAATCATTAAAAACTTGAGAATGAAATTAATAGATGTAATCTCTACAACCTGATAACTATTGTAATGGAGTCAATCACGAAACTAAGATTTGTATATCGATTATATCTCAAGATTATACGCGTTCCTGGATTCTGTAGACTTGCAATGTTATTTCATGTTCATTAGATTCCAGAGAAATCAAACTGAGGTTGAATAATTATTAGAAACTGTTAACCTACAATTTAAAGATAGCGCAGAATATAATCTAGTAGAGAAATATATCTTTTTCCAAATTTTTGTGTCAATATTACTGAAATGAGCATTGAAAAAAAAAATCATCTAGCATGAAACCCAAATACTTTAACTCATTTGCAAATGTGATTTATTCACCAACTATTGAAAGTGTATTGGTCCACGTTAACATATTTTATCTCATATTACTCATGTGATGTTGCTGCTGATTGATATGCAAAAAAAATTAGTTATTCAAGTATTTTAATAATTGCTGATACACTACCGGTTCTAAATGTTTTTCTTGGCGAAGTAATAATTGATCAATTTTCGCAAGATTTCACCATATCAGAAAGCTTTTGGTTGATCAGGAAAAGCTTTTTATTTACAATCATATATCAATGAAATCTATTGGGTCAATGACCCAAAGGAGATACATGGTTACCAGATTTCCCCAATATTCTTCAGTTCCACATATGGAAAGGGGAGAAAATACTGCAACTTTATAGAAATTTCTGAGGCAGTAGATTGATAAAAATATCAAAAATATTCTATCTTACAAGGCAATGCTTTGAAAATATTATTTTTCATTTACTATTTTGAAGAACATTACATATTATGCCAATGAAGAAACCTAAAAAAAAACAATTCATTTAAAATTAAGTAGATGAATATATTTCTTGAAAAGACATAAAAAATTTTTATGAAAATTGAACAAATTTGATAGGATAAAAACAATACCTATATTCTACTGGTAAATACAAAAGTAAGTAAATCCTAAATAATTCGAATCACCTAATCGTGTTATCAAAAGAATCAAATCTTCATTTTTTTCACTTCAATAAATAAATAAATAGAACATCAAATGAAAAACACGATGTATGAAAACAGAGGTTTTCAGGTCCTGATAATATTGCATCACTTTACAGAGATTGTCTTCAGATATTCATTCACATTTTATAAAAAGTCACGATTAACAATATATACAATAAAAAATGCCGAAGGAGAGCTAGCAAGTGGTCTCAAGGAGTATACAGTGACAGGCTGTGAGACACACTGGCGGGACGCTTCGGCAGGTTGTTGTTATCAATGGTAGTTTGGTAGTGATTGTAGCGCAGGACGTAAGCTCCGTGGACGTGTCACCATCAACGAGAGCCACTCCTGCCGACCCCTGCTAGAGAAGTTTCTCTCCAACAGAACTCGATGTCCCTGAGCTGAAAGTGACATCCTCCCCAGCCAGTATTTGTCAGTTGTCCAACTCCACCATTACGAATTGCCTAAGCCTCTCTAGGTATACTGAATAGAGTTCCACGTCATTATGTCCTGCACCCTGAAAATATGTGAAATATTAGGCGAACACATTTTATAGCTAAAGAGGAGTAAACTCGTTTTCTTTGTTAGAAAAAATCATATACAGGGCTATTCAAATTCGTTTCTGTACATGGGGATCTCGTAAATGATAAGGGATACAGTATCGGTTAAATTGTGGCAAAGTTGCATATTTTAGAGACCTATTCAATGATGTGAAGTTATCGAATATAACTCTTTTGGTTCTGGAGATATACAGGAAAAACCAAAAAATCCCAAATTATTTTTTTGTCTATATCTTCTTTATTCGCAGACATATTGAAAATCTGTCCACAGTTTGCTATTAGCACTTAATGTGGACTATCAGAATATGTCCATGAATCTTTAATACAGGATGTCATCTGACTTGGGCCACCCCCATCTTTGAATTTTTAAATACGGACCTGCATTTTTTGTTGTAGTTTTTGTATCGTCGACGTTCACTTCATACTAAGAAATTGAATTCAATTTTATATTTCGCGATGTTTCGGTAATATTTGATTATAATTGTGTGAATTATTCCCTTTTAAATAACGGCCCTGGAAATTGGTTGGTTGACTGAGTTAAATAAAAACACAATGGCAACTTTCACGTCTCCCTATGTACCGTAGAGTTTTTCTAGAGTTTTTTTTATTCATTTTTAGGTGCCTTTCATATTTTTTCCATTGCTCGAGTGTTTTCTACAATGAACTTCGAATAAGAAAACCTTTTATGATTATCTGAAACATATCTACATCAAAAATATGTTATATGTGTTTTGATAAGCAGAAAAAGAAATGATACCAATAATAACATCCGAAACAAATACTATAATGGGGAATGTTCCTCAATTTGTGTTATTACAGCAAATGCAAGTTTGAACAAAATAAAGTTGAGTTTAATTCACGAGTTTTTCAAATTCACTTCGAAAAGTATTCAAATTGATGTTTCTATCCCGTTCGACCGCGTCACTATAAAACGTGGTATAGCAAAAATGCATCTGACATGGAATAACAAAAAAAGGTAAATGACAGCTAAACGTAATTTTGTCAATGGTTAATGAAGGCAATTGATGATGGAAATGGAGGTTTATATTTCCTGGATACCCCTGATGGAACTGGTAAGACATTCCTGATGTCATTAGTTTTAGCTACTGTTCCTGCGAGATCCAACATTGTGCTTGCAGTTGCTTCTTCTGGAATAGCAGCCACATTATTAGAAGGATGCCATACGGCTCATTCAGCATTGAAATTGCTGGTAAATCTTCAAACTATTGAAGAACCAACATGTAATATCTCAAAAAACTCCGCAATGGCCAAAGTTTTATCAGCATCGAAAATCATCATATGGGACGAATGCACAATGGCGCACAAACGTGCATTAGAAGCACTTAACCGAACATTGAAAGATGTACGCAATGACTCAAGATGTTTTGGAGGTGCATTTATTTTACTGTTTGGTGATTTCCGCCAAACACTGCCGGTAATTCCAACATCAACGGCTGCCGACGAAATAAACGCTTGCCTCAAATCATCGAATCTTTGGTGCTATGTGATAAAACTTCAGCTAACAACAAACATGAGAGTTGCATTGCTTAATAATACATCTGCTGAAGATTTTTCTGAGCAATTGCTGAGTATCGTTAATGATCGAGTACCGGTCGACGAATCGAGCAGATTGATTTCATTGCCTCAGAATTTTTGTTACGTTGTCTCATCGAAAGACGAACTTATCAGCAAAGTATTCCCAAACATAATTACTAACTACAAAAATAATGAATGGGTGAGTAAGCGAGCAATTTTAGCGGCTAAGAATAAAGATGTAGACGACCTAAACTACATAATTCAGAATGATAGCATTGGAACAATGCATTCATTCTAATCAATTGATTGTGTAACAAATAAAGATGAAGCCACCAACTATCCAACTGAATTTTTAAACTCCTTGGATGTGCCTGGCTTACCACCGCACAATTTAAGCTTGAAGGTTGGCTCCGTAGTAATCAACATGAACCCACCAAAACTTTGCAACGGTATACGTTTGGTGGTAAGTAAATTGATGAACAATGTGATTTACGCGACGATATTCAAAGGAAAATTCGAAGGTGAGACTTCAATTTCCAATTCGTCTTGCATTCGCCATGACCATTAACAAATCACAAGGCCAATCCTTGAAAGTTTCTGGTCTGAATCTGGAAAATCAATGTTCTTCACATGGTCAATTATATGTGGCATGTTTACGGGTCAGAAGACCATCTGCGTTGTTTATACTTGCGCCTGATAATAAAACAAAAAATGTCGTGTATCACAAGGTGCTTGTGATACACGATGATGTGATTCAATGAAGAATAATTGAAATACTTGATTAATACAAAAATTAAATTAATAAAACAAAAAATGTGCTTTTTTATTGCCTCAAAGGCGGAACGAAGTTCGCAGGGTCAGCTAGTTTCATATAAACAATTTACAGAACTGTAACACACATTTTCATCAAAAATAGCTTCTCAGATCATGTGTTGCGTTTTGTAAATTGTTTACATGAAGACTTCCGAATCAAGTGTTTTCACATATTTTTCATGGTTCATCATGAATTTTCATCTAGTCCATTAAAATAGTATTCTCAATATTGCAATAACTGTAGGTCTGTCTGTGTAAGTGGCTGGAAAGCTCTGTTATTCGTTTCGATTCAATAAATTTCATTAAAGAAAAATAAATCTTAAGCAATAGAGAAAATCAATGCATGGCATCTTTTAAATCAAATAGTAACTGGAAGAACTAGTTTTATTGAAATGACATCAATGTGACCTTTGAACATAAGATATGCTTTTCGAGAATTTTTAGACAAAATGTGTAATCACAAATTAAAAGAAATACTCACCTCGACCCAAAGGGGTTCCACCGCCTTTGGACACTTTTCGAAAATGGTAAGTCCATGAGAGAAGTCTATTACTTCATCTTCAGTTCCATGGATTATTAATGTAGGCGACATTACCTTTGAAACTTTATCAATACTGAAACAAAAAAGAAATAGTTATTCATTTATCAAAACAAGTTTTTTTAAGGTAGAAATGTTTAAAGCAAATTTTTTTGGCCATTTTCCAAGTACTGATTTGTGTAATATTTATAATTTTAATATCCCAACGAATTTTGCCATTTGAAATAATTGAAAAGTTCACTTTTGGCATCATATCATAATATTTCATAATCATCGAAATGACAATGTTTTCAAATGTTTAAATCTTTGATTGAATAAATAGTGGTAATAATTCAAAACAAATATGTACTAAAATAATAGGGGCAAATTTTCAGGAGAGATTAATTTTTGGAAAAGGTTTTGGCTTTCTACTTCTCCATTTTCATACAAAAAATGTGGTAAACTTCCAATAAACGAAAGAAAGCAATCAATTTAAAAAAAAATTCCCTATACAAAGATGTGTAGACCATGCGAAGAAGTGACTTCCAGACAGAAACTGAAAAATTCTTACATATTTTTGTATGAAGATGGAGAAATAGAAAGTCAAAACATTTCTTTCCCAAAAATTAGGTTTCAAGTCTACATTCTCTGCATACAAAACAGCGTTTAATTCACTGAAAGACATCCGTAGCAGCTGATGTCTTCAGATGATTGCACAATGACTTTTCAATGTTTTCAGCCATCTCATCAATTCGTCTTTGCACGGAACTATTGCTCAAAGGAATTTTTCGGATAATATCTACCGCTGGTTTATGGAGCACAATAGTTACTACTTCTTTTATTGCCGGTAAAAGTAAATCTTCTCCAATAGTGTGAGGTTTACCTGTTTGAGTAATTAGCAAGGAGATATTGTAGGAAGCTCGAAGTCCGTCGTCGTCCTGCTTAGAAACCGCTGAAAAAAGTTTTGACACAATTGGCTGAGCTGAGTGTTTATTTTCCAGTTCTTGATAATAAGTCACACTTTTGTCTTTTTTATCTGAATACATTTTATTTAAATGATCTAGCAGCCTTGAGGGTTTCATCGCTTCATTCGAAAATGTTTTTTGACAAAGAAGGCACATAGGCGAAGATGGATTCTTGGGATTTTCAATAAATCCATATTTAATATATTCCGCGCTATACTGCCGTTTCTTCTTTTTTGCTTCCGACATAATTTTGTGTTCAAAAATGCCGAAGTAAAGAATCTAGTATTAAAAACTTGCTAATGACACCACTCACAGTATTCACCACCACACGTACAGCATTTTACCTAGCTAATCGCTAACTACATTCACTTTTTTTCGTAATATCGTCGAATGACATTACTGGCTGCATGGCGCACGAGCTTCTATATGGGGCGGGCCTAGTACTTTCGAAAATGGAGACTAGAAACTTCTCGCTTCGCTTTGAAGCTTACCGCCATCTATTGTACAGTTTGACGACTATCGGACGGGAAATAGTTACTGTCTAGCCTCCTAGATGGCGGTACACGAGGAAACGCGCGTTAAGCGTAAAGGAGCGGTAAAGTTTGTCTTAAAAGCAAAAAAATCTTCTCTGTGCCCTTTACTGCCCCCCTATAAGCCTCCGGCGCACACTACGGGGCATTATAGCCCACTTTGAAAAAGACTGATCTAGAGCTTCCAAATCATGTAAGTCTTATTCAAGACCAGCAAAATGAAACAATAAACACAATATTTTAAATGCCATTTCGAACTCATACAACTAACCTCTTTTCACAAAGTGAACTTTACCCGATAAAATACCTAATCAATTTAAAACAATGAAAAATGAATACCATAACATTTGTTGTATGATCCTCTGACACAAGCTGTAAATGTTTTTGATGAATTGCCGTCGAGAGTGCCTGAGTTATAAAACTACCGTTTATTTTTGAGAAGTTTGAAAGACCTTATGAGGGAGGAACACATGGAAGACGTGTACTGCATTGAATTTTTGTTTAATATAAGTTTTTATTCTATTCTATTGTGTTTTTTAAGTATTTGTTGTAACTCGGGACCAGCATTACTGCTGATTTGGAACAACAACATACAGGATATCATATGTTGTATTTTTTCCAATTGAAAAAAAATGACAGAAGTTGAGAGAATAGTTCTTTTGGAATTCCTGTAAATTTTCTCAATAATCCCGAAATGAGCATAGTAATTCAATATATATATATATATAGATCAAAGGTTAGCACATTTATTCTAATCTAATTTTTTACAAAAATTAAAATGAATTATAAACTTCTACAGTTTACTTGTGATGCACTGTTTGGAACCTTTGGTGTAGTAATGAATATTACTGGAGTTTTTCCCAAAACCAAACCGTTATTTCAACATCTCGACACGTGTTTCCATCACAAAGTGATCATCTTCAAGAGGAAGATCATCCTCTTGTATTTGCCCACAGTTCTCATGTATTTGTCAATTTTTGATTTATAAGAATTTTCACAAATTATAACTATAGTTAACCAAAGTTGATATGTCTGTAACTGAAGAATATTTTTATAGAATTTTCAATGTAATTCTTTGAATTGACATAGCTTTTTTACTTGTGATGGACTGTTTGGAACCTTTGGCGTAGAAGGAGGAAGATCAAAACTCTTGATTGAAGATGATCACTTGGTGATTGAAACACGTGACGAGGTTTTAAAATAACGGTTTGGTGTTGGGAAAAAACTCCAGTAATATTAATAACTTTTTTACTTATGAATCGATTGAAACAAATTAAACACTACATGTCAAGTGGAGCTAACCACAATACATTAGTGAAAACAGTTTTTAACGTTTTTATTAGCTTCACCTGTATGTTTGTTAGTAACCGACTCGATTTTACACTTATCAAGAATCAATACAATACAATAATTTCATAAGTTTATCTCATTATCCTGATCATGATCGCCAGGATTAGTTTCCTCACACAGTCTCTGTGTGAGAGCAAGTAGACAACCACACTGTCTGTGCATGCGTATATATTTTATATTAAAACAAATCGGCTTGAAATAGCAAGCGAAACTAAAAAGTTGAGAATAAATAAAAGTGAGTTAGCGATGTACGCTTTTGGCCGATACCGAGGTAGAACTTCCCCAGAAACTCCCAATTAACTTAAGTTCAAATATTTTGAGTATACATATATTTTAGGATAATTTCCAACCACGGAATATTCTATATGAACAACAAAAAAGTTCAGCTACACGTACTCCAACATTGCCAATATTATGTAAATTTGTCGTTGCCCTCGGAATATTTAGTGACCTGTAGTAACACATACTGAACCAATAGTTCCGAGTGGGTTTATTTTTAGTAGTCATGGAATAAATCTAAAATAAGAAAAAAATCTCTATATACTGAAAGAACAGTAAACAGTGCCAAAACTTGAAAAAAAATTCACCGAAATAACTTCGAGGAAAAGGTCTTTTTTTAAACAAATGTTCTTGAATGCAGAGAATGCGCGTCGTTCAACATTCTTCTTTTTTATCGACTGAATTTTCCAGGATTAAAATATACTTGGCTGGTATGCATTTCGAATCAACTTGGAATTTGATTAAACTTAAATATTTTCTCGTCTATTTTTGGATTATCTAATCAAAAAAGATCTGGATTTGACTTTTTACACATTTCGAACGCGAGCCGTGAACGCTAAGGTGGCAATTGGACCCGCCTATAGGGCTGTGAAATATAGATTATGACTATTTCGAGGAGAACAGGTTTTTGTCAAATAAAAAATTCCAGTAAGGCAGTAAGATTTGAGTTTGTAGCCGATTTGAAGCTGCAACCCCTTGCCTTCTTGGATGTTTTTTTTGACCTTAGTAAATCTTTTGATTGTTTCAGTCACGACATTCTAACAGACAAGTTGAAATTTTACGGATTTTCTGATTCAGCTTTACAATTGGCGGCAGTCTATCTCCAGTACCGATCATTCACAAGAAGTACACTCCAACCACAGATGAGTTCGTGTCAGACAATAAATAATGTAGCCCAGTTTAGTGTACTAGGACCGCTTCAGTTTTGAAAGATATACATGTTTTTCCCAAAAGTATAAACGCTTCAACAACCTCGTTTGCTAATGATGCTGCATTTATAATTAGAATCGCAAATATCTTTGCAGTATTAGTAATATGATAGATTATATTATGAACAAGGCAACATAGTAGTTAACGGCCAACAAACAAGCCTAAAGTAGAATAAAATTCAGACAGAATTAGTATTAGAAATAAAAATTGACATGCTCTTTGAAATTTTCGATTACATATCCGTTTCTGACTTACAGGGAAAGGTTAATGCAGTCAAACTGCTGGAAAATAATTCTATGAAAATCAAAAGATAAGTACTATTCTGATCACTCCCATATTGATCTCAATTTAAGAGCCACCGGTATATATATATAAACCTTCCTCTATCTATCTATTAAAAAAAAACCGCATCAAAATTCATTGCGTAGTTTTAAAGATATAAGCATACACAGGGACAGACAATGGGAAGTGAATTTTTTTTATACCATGCAGTGATACTCCTATGTTCCATTTTCTAGTATGGTCCGTACCATGGGTTTTGGTGCGCCGCAGGTGGTTCACCGTTAAAAAATCTGTTTTTCCGTTAGACAGCTGTCCTATACAAACGACAATCTTCAAAAGTCGTAACTTGTGCGAGGCAAAAATTAACTAGGTATTACTTTATATAGTGCGATTCCTTGCACGGGTTGCCCGGTAAGCAGTGAAAATCGATCGTCCGACCGTTGGACTCGAACTACTGATCCACATAGCGTTCTATTGAATAACGAGAAGTTACGCTAATCCAGCCGGCTACCTTTCCACTGTCCATATATGATTTTGTGAGCCCATGTTTGACGTACTCATCAGCTTTTTCGTGTCTGTGACTCTCAAGAATTCTGGCACCCAGTGTCTTCAGTTCTTCATGGTTTTTTCGGAACACTACTGTGTAATAATGACACATTTCAGATTGTGGAAAATACGCGGTATTGATAGTCGAAGTAAAAATATATATTTTTGTAGATATCTCAGAAACTACTTAGAATGGAAACTTAATTTTTTTGTGG